GATCTCAATCATACATGATCCTAATCGAATATGTTCCATTTTTTAGGGGTATGCTAATATTTATATAGTTGAAGTTAACATAATGTTTTCTTTTCCACGATATACTCCTAGAACGTGTAGATTGGTATTAGTTTATTGAGTATGATTAAAAAGAAACTCGCTGCAATCGCAAAGTCTTTCCATAAATTATATACATATGCATTTTTTTATTCAATCATTTGGTGATTATATTATTCGAAGTATCTTTTGACAGCTCTGGTTGGAGATATTCTACAATAAATCCACGAGTCCATTTATTTTATTGTGTTTGATTATGAGACAATTCATGTCGGTTTTGTTTACTTTTTGATAAGAACAGATTATTTAGTGAGTCTTCTTTTCGAGTTCCTGCATGAACAATGGCATTGAACAAGATATTCCCTCGTTCAAGGCTTCATAATACTGTGGATGAATGCAATCAATTCCATTAGCTGAACAGAAATTAAAAAGTAAAGCGTATAAGAAAAGTAATAATGTAATCATGACTTTCACTACATATATTATTTATTTTCTTTAATTTTTCATGTTTTTGTTTTTGTTATTGTGTTTATGGTTAAACAAGTTTATCAAATATTAATTTAAAGATATACATAATAATCTAGTTAAACTTGGCTTTAAATATAGGGCATTTGCATTTGATGGCAACAAAAATTTATATACAAATTAAGAAATGTATAGCAACGGATTGACTTAAATATTGTTTAACAATTTTAACAGTTCAAAAAAGAAAAAAAATTGTGTTCTTTAATCAAAAAAGAAAAAAATTGTGTTGTAAGCGAGACAGTAAAAGCGTTATATCTTAATGCAATTAAATAAATATACCATATCAATATATCAAGAAATCAGGAAAACAAATACAACTTGAACTCCTGAGAGCATCCACATTGGTAATAAAATGTGGGTGTCTTTAAATATAAAATTATTAAAATTTGAGTAAAAGAAAGAGAGTGTTTTTTGTTGAAATAGTGTGGTGTATTGAAATATAAAATTAATAAAATTTGAGTAAAAAGAAGAGATAGTGGGTATTTTTGGAGAGATTGTGTCTTGGGGAAGACATAAGAGAGAGAGAATTGAGGTGTGTTTAAATATAAAATTAATAAAAATTGAGTAAAATGATGAAAGAAAAGGTATAAAGTTGAGTAAAATGATGAATGAGAAGGTATAAAGTTGAGTAAAAGGAAGAGAGAGTGTGTTTTTAATATTTTTATATTATGAGACATTGGTAAAATATCTCCAATGTGGATGGCCTGACGTTTAAAAAGAAAAGAAAATTAACTTCGAATACGTCTTGTCATTTTTTCCACGATATTTTTAGGATTGGGTCCCAATAAACAAATGGATATACGGTAAGAGTCTAACGAGAGGCC